CGGGCGCTCGTGCTGCTGGGTCGGGGGCCCTCACCGGGTCGGAGGCGTCCCTTGTACCCCCCCGCGCGGGCCGGTCTCCGCCAGGCACAGAATCGTAGAATGGTTTAGGTTGGAAAAGACCTTTAAGATCATCAAGTCCAACCGTTAACCCAACCCTGCCATCCCACCACTCTACCCTGGCCCTACCCGTCTTATGAATACCTCCAGGGATGGGGACGCCACCACTTCCCTGGCAGCCCGTGCCAATGCTTGACAGCCCTTTCGGTGAAGAAATTTTTCCTAATGTCCAACCTAAACCTGCCCTGGCACAACTTGAGGCCGTTTCCCCTCATCCTATCGCCCGTTACCAGGGAGAAGTGGCCGACCCCCACCTCCCTACAGCCTCCTGTCAGGCAGTTGTAGAGGGCGATCAGGTCTCCCCTCAGCCTCCTCTTCTCCAGGCTGAACAACCCCAGCTCCCTCAGCCGCTCCTCGTATGATTTGTGCTCCAGACCCCTCGCCAGCTTTGCTGCTCTTCTCTGGACATGTTCCAGTAATGCAACGTCTTCCCTGTAGCGGGGGGCCCAAAACTGAACACAAGTCATGCAGGTGCTTGGAGCCCTTCTTCTGGGAGTGGGGTGGGGCAGGGAGGGTGACAACCCTGGTAATCCCCAGCCTCCCAGAGCCGGGGGCTTCATGTGCTGTAGCTGCTGAGGGGGGAGGCTGTGCCTCTAGCCTTTGTAGTGGTCAGCAGTGCTGTGGCTGCCTAAGGCGGCCTAGGCACTGTCGTGGCTTGAGACTGTTGCTTTTTGGGAGTGCTTAAGGGTTTTCTCCTTACGTTTTGACTTTCACCTTGGTCTTCTATCTTGTCACATCTTCCAGGTAGTGCATCTTTTCAGTGCTTTCACGTACAGCACTCTCGGAAAGGTCTGGTCACTGTTGAATCCGTTAGTTGGCGGACGCTTTACATGCACGTAGTAACAAGTATTTTAGGGTTTTACAATAGCTGTCAGGTTTTTGACAATTAACATGTCAGTATAAAAGACCTTAAATGTAAGCATGATTTTTTTTTTTTATCTGGTAGTGCTGCTGGAGGAAACTCCTGCACTGCTCATCACTGTCAGCGTCCTGAGATTATTGTTGTCACCTTCCAGAATTTATTATACACTTGCCTATTGGTGGAACAATTTGTAGGAACAATCCTAAAATCACTTCAGTAAAGTCGAGTAGGTTAGCATGAAATTAGTGGTCTGGGTTAAGATGGCTTTACTTAGTAAGTCTGTGGAGGGGTGTTTTTGTGGTCTTTTGCTACAAGTTACTATTTTTCCTTTGCTCTTTCAGTTAACTGACATGCTAGACCAGCTGAATACACCTGGTCCTCTTTATAGCAGCTTTAAACCGTTGATAAAATCAATTTGATCTTATTTGATTGTGTCTGTATTGAAGTAAATGAAAGAATGCTTAGACATGTTCCTTTCTGTCCTGCCAGCTGAGCATGACCTGCCTTCTTCCTTTCCATCCCTGCAGCCCAGGGTGGGAATGAACAAGGGGTAAACGTGAGTTTAATCATTCCAGCCCGATCCAAAAAATGTGTTCTCAATATCTTTAACTGTTATCAGACTCTCTGAAAGAACTCTAATTTAGTGTGGGGTTGGTGTTTTAGTGTTTTGGGTTTTTTTTAAAAAGAGACTTCAAAGCGTAGCACGTGTACATGAGTAGTTTAAGGAGTTTTTGAGCACTTTGGGCCATTAGGCCAGGCAAATGAAACAAAAGGCATCTGGTTCTGTTAAAGTAATTCTCACTTTTTTTTTTTTTTTTTTTTGTTCCAGAATTCCAGAGGCACTTCTTGTCTGCTGAAGGATAGTATCTCAATTACTGAATTTTCAGCTTCAGGACCATTTGAATGTCATGATCTTCTGCGTAGAGGGTATGCTTTATTTTTCTTGTTGAATTATGCCCTAGCCAGTGTTGAACTTCAGATATAGGAAGAAAGTATAGGAAGAAAGTATGTGTTAAATGTTGGCTTTTTAAAGAAGGTTCTTGGAAGGTGAATCGCAAAAGCTGTAGCCTAAAGTCCATATGTTTAATCAGGTTGTCTTTCAAGTGTGAATTTTCTGTGAAACATCACTTCAAGAAGTAGATAACATTAATGGACTTTTACCTGTGTGATACTGCTCTTTAGAAAAGAGATGGCAAAGTATTATGAAATGTACGCTAGTTTTAATATACACATATATGAGTGTGGCATAGTACTGTGGGAAATGGTTAATTTCAGCATTGGTACAAAAAGTAAAGTTAATATAGTGAAAAATAGTGGCTTTGGGTTTTGCCATTTTACATGAGTGCAAAACTATCTACACGTCTTGGATAATGCACCTAGTGCATGAACTCCTAGTTCATGGAGGTTAAAATGTAATACAACTATGGGAGAGGGAGGAAAGTATGTGCAATATTCAGCTGCAAAAGTTTGGGGACTTTTAAAATCAGATAGCATGTAGCTTGGACATAATTAAACTTTTGATGTTTTCATTTGTTAATATTTTTCTCTCTTTCTGAAGAGGGTCAGGGAAGAACACCTGTCATTCTGTTTTGTCAAACATAAACAAAAAAGGATGCCTGAAATTTAAATTCTTCTGGTAGTGATGTAGTTAGAGGTCTTATTTGCTGCCTCTCTATTAAGCTTTTTTTTTTTTTGAGTTCAGACTGTGCTAATTTTATGTCTCTGCGGGTTGATGTTTGTATCTGAGATTAGGTTTAGAATGCAACTTAAAAAATGATATCCTGATTTATTTGAAGTTCAATTTTTTTACTTGCATTTCTAGCTTTACAAGTGTGAAAAATGAATTGTTGCCCAGCCACCCACTGGAGTTGTCAGAAAAAAATGTAAGTATAACATCAAATGCAGCCATCTTCACTCTTAACTAATTATGAAGTTTAAATTAAGAATGTGGTTACCTGGAGTCCTTTGTGCAGTAGCAAGTAATGAGCAGGGTCTTGCCTTTAACAGAATAAAGGTATTCAACAATAGTAACATTTTATTTATACAAATAACATTGTTGGCAAATTTGTTTAATGTTAACCTTCCACTTGTGACTCTCCCCACTTCAAGCAAGTAAGTGGGCTGCCAAGTAGGGATTTACTTAGTAAGGTTCAGTCATCTAAAAGTTATTAAGCTAGTTGTGTATGCAGCCTCTATAGTTAGGTGCGGGACACACCTGTCACTTCTGGAAGGGTGATCCTCCCATTTTGTCTGTAGGTTTACCAATGTCTTCATTTTCAGACTTTCAATCTGTGAACACATAAATACTTTTCATTACTTGATCCCATCTAGAATTCCTACACATACAGTTTGTCATAAGTGTATGCAATCTTGTCCTGCTTAGTCATCACTCATGGACCACTTAAGAGTGGTCTCTGGACCATAGGTTGAAAGTAAAGGGAGACTAGACTGGCAGCCTTGGCTAAATAGCTCATTGAACCGAATCTTGTCTCTGGTGCCTGTTTTGTCAGATCTGATGTAATAAAATGTCCCGAAGCAAAGGCAGTATTTGGATATAATATTCCAAATTGCTAAGCTAATTGGCATGATGAGGTCTGAATGTAATGTCTAATGTAGTCAAATTCTGACCAGTGTTAGTATTGTCTAGAGTTCAAAGGATGATGTTAATGTGATACCAACTTCACAAGCTGATTTATAAATACTATAAATGTTTCAGAGCTATTTGTCAATTGATTTTTTTTTTACAACTGACCACTATAACTTAGTTTTTAACTCCGTTTTTGCTATATAAAACCTGCATAATTAAAAGATTACATGCTAGAGAGAAAAGAAATGCACAGAAATAATTAAAACAGGCAATGTGATCCCATAAAAAGTATGTGAAACTTCTACATTGTTTTTTCCACATATTATTTGGTTAGTTTTTCTGTAAGTTTAAGTTTATGGCCTATTTAAGAATTATTTTCATGTACATTTGAAAGACTTATCTTAGCCTGAGATAGTTATGGTTGGTTTTACTGCCATAAATGCTATTTTCCTGTTCATTTTTGAGATCCCTCCGCATAAGCGGGATGACATTCTCACACTGACAGGCTTTTGTCATGGTGATTGAGTACAGGTTTTAAAAGAAGAGCTTTGTATTTTTTGTTTTACTTTACAATATTGTATTGTGTCAGCATTACAGGCATGGGGTCACTGCTATAAAAGCCAAATTTGAGACTGGATTACTCAAGCTTAACATTAAGCATAAGTTGTGTTCTTCGGTATTCATGAGACAGCACTTTTTCTACCTTTACAAAGTAGATTTTCTTTGTCTTACTGAGCAGTTTTAGAGTAGTTGGCGGAATTATGAGCTTTCTTTTGCTTTTTGGAGTCATACAGAGTATATGTGGTGCTCTGTCTTCCTACTTGATCAGAAAAGTATTTCGAGTGTTTTCAAGTAGTCTTTGATGGCTAACCATAACATCAGTAGTGGCTTTCAAGTGTGTGTTCTTACTTTAAACTAGGCTTAGCTTCCACTTTGTGCTGACAATACTGTAGTAATGTAAAGTAGTGCAAAACTGCACCACTTGGTGGTGTTACATGTCCTGCTTGTCAAAAATAACAAAATAAAATTGCTACTATTGATTTGTAATAAAATCCAGCAAAAAAAGCTATTTCAGTTTCATAAAACAAATATTACTACATCACTGTCTTTTGTGTACATGAGACACATGACAGAATCACTGCATTTTTATATACAAGTTTAATAAGCATGTTCATGTAAGTAGGATGTCAGAAATCTCTTGTATGGCTGTACTTGAAAGTAACTTTTTCTAAAATAAAAATCGATGTTGTTTGTGATAGTTCCAGTTAAATCAAGATAAAACAAACTTTGCCACGCTGAGAAATATACAAGGACTCCATGCGCCGTTAAAGCTGCAGATGGAATTCAGAGCAGTGAAACAGGTAGGCATTTTTATCTGACTGGTATAACTTCAACCACTTGAAAAAATTTTTATCTCAGAACATGCTTTCAGAGAGATGTCTTTATTGAAATACCTTATGTTGCCAAAAGAAATTCTTTCACTGGACTGCTTTTATTAAAACCGAACATTGCAATTAATAGTTCGCAGAACAGTCAGTATGCTAAAGACTTTCTGCTGCTGTTCTTTTATTGGTTATTTGGTGAAGTGGTAACTGCTCTGGCTTTTCTGTGGACTAACTTCCTGTGAGCCTTCAGAGAAAAACAGGAGGAGTTGAGTATGAATTCCTAAAATTAATGCCCTCCTCTGTAGAACGTATGATCTTCATGGTAAGGAATCTCCACATCTGTAGGGCAAAGAGACTTAGGGATCTGAAGCAGGTAGTGATTTGGGAGTGGATACAGAGGTGATGTGAATTGCTATGTGCTTATTATTGTTCCACAGCTTTTCTTGGAAGATCAGGGGAGGTCTACAAGGGAGTTAAGTTCAAAGGCTTTAACTCTTAATTGGGAAGCTGAGTCTCTCCTTTTCCTTGGTACCACCTAGGACGGAGGGTAACTTGGAGGGAGGCTGACTTTGTCCCTTAGTAAACAAAGAAAGCTCATTAATCCTAGTAAGCTTTTTTTTGGTTTGTTGAAGGTTTTCAAGCTATTAAGAGTTGTTTTTCCAAGTGAGTTGGAGCAATTTTACACTCCCTCCCAGTGGATCAGCTCTTGAACCACAATGAACTGCATTAAACCTGGCAGAAATTACTGGTCCTGAAGATGTGAAAGTCAGACAGGATGTATGAAAACATCCCTTGATCTCAGCTGTGCTGTCTTACAAGGAAAAATCTTTTTCCTAACTGATGTTAGCACATGGCTAACAAGTGTATGGCTAATGAGGCAGGTGAGGGTATCCTGATACTGTGCCTTCACAGGTGTTCTTGGGGGATGGGTGTGGGAAATACAGTGATGAGAAGGTTTTTCACTCTCAGCTTCATGTTAGATACACAAGTTCTTTTGAGGTTTAATTTCACTTTTGTAAAATATTTACTGGAATAGTGTATTTGCACTTCTGAAAATTGTACCAGTAGTGATTATGGAAATCTTTGACATATTTTGTGTGTAAAGAGGTTGCTACATTATAATTTATGCTTGTAAAATATGTTCATGGTATAACTGAAGTATTGCTGCTAGTAGTGAATGCAGTTTTAAGTACAGATACGCCATTCTCAGAATATTTAGAATCTGAATGCTTTGTGTGCCACTTGACATTTTTTCATAATACTGTGGGTGAAGGGTAGAGAAGAGGGTGTTGAAAGTAACTGGGAGTGGACTTGAACCTTAAGAATTGGTGGGGATCAGAGAAACAATTATGATTTAGATCAATTGCAAGGAGGGTGATGTGTAGATGTGAAAATCAATATAGCTCTTTCACGTACTTTCCTGACTTGTGTCAGAGATGTAGAAAACTTAGAATGTGGTTTCCAAACACTGCAGTATATGTCAGCTGCCCAGTACTGACCTCAGGGTGTTGATGTGTTTGTTGCAGTAAGCCTCCGCAGTTTTATGTGATAACAGAGGATTAAAAAAACCCTACTTTTTTTTTTTTTTAACTACATTATTTGCTGTAGTTGCTATATGGCAGTGAAAGCCAGAAATCTAGTGAAGGGCTGTCTTTTCAAAACAGAGATAAACAATAGAAGGTGGTGGTGTTAAGTAGGTTTTGCTATGTGTGTGTGACAGTACTTCTCTTATTTCATTGTTGTTTTTGAAGGAAGACATGACTTTGCCTGTCACTTTTCTGAGTCACTTCAGGCTGAAAAATCCAAATATAAACCCCCTCAATTTTAGACCTGCAGAAACTTGAACTCTTGTTGTCTTTTTACAGGTCCAGCGTCTCCCATTTCTTCACAGCTCAAACATAGGACTGGATACTCTGAGGGGAAATAATGAATGCATCAGTTTTGAGGATATCCTTAATGGTAAATACATTCTGGTTTGAATGTTATGGGAACATTTAAAAGTAAAATTTGGGAACTGTGAATTTCTTTGCCTCCATGGAATAAGAGAATTAAATGCACAAAATAAAAAGAAAAAAATTAAATTCCTGAAGGCAAAGAAGCACTGGAGGAAGGAGAAATAAATGTGGTTCAGCTGCTAGTTGTGTGGAAATGACTCTGAAATATTGAGTAAGCCAGTATTTGCTTGTAGGCTGGGTTTAGAAATTCAGGAGTAGAAGAAGATTATGCACTTATGTTTTATGCCCATTGCCGCAGAAACTTTTGAACTACTTGTGTAGATTTTGATAGGTGGAGGTTACAAAGATTTTGTAAGTTCTATAATTAAAAAGATAGAAAGGCTAGAGGAAAGATACCAAACTAATGAATCAGAGATGTGGTAGGGGAAGGCTCCCTCAAATTAACTCAACAGTTTGCAGTTGTGTGGTGGACTACTGACTGACAGTTAGAATGTGTGGAATAGAATAAACCTGGAAAAATAGTTTAAAAATTATTTTTTCCTAGCTGGCTGTTAAAGACATGGGAGGAGACAGAGGGTACTTTGAGGTGGGGTTGGAGAATTAAAAGAGCCAGGGAGATAGGAAACTGGAAATAGTGGAGGGGTAAGTGGGAGTCTAGAGGCATGAGGTAAATCTGGAGTTGTTTTCTGGGATTGGTTTACAGGGAGCAAGGGAAGGAATTTTAGGTCATTGTGGTTCGGAGTAGAACAATGTCAAGTGTAATTTATAGGAATTTAATTATTTACCATTACTCACAACAAGCTGTTACGTAGTTACAGAGTGCTAGGAGTGAGTGGGGTAGATGTGGTTTTGGTAAGGTTCTGTTTATCAGCTGGGGCTGGGTTAGATAATTTTGGTGTCGCTGGAGGAATCAAAGGCATTAATAGGCCTTATGCATGGAAGGAAAACACTCTGATACACCCATAAATTAAAGTCCTATTTCTTCCAAAGTGCAGACACAACTTTTTTTTCTGGCCTTGATTTTTTTTTTTTTTAAATTTTTAATTTTTTTTATTTTATTTTTTTGTATGGAAATGAAATTCATGCTGTTAGCATTGGTATCTCTTGTGTCCTCTGCACATTCCTCGATAACCTTTGAGTACAGTGGCTAATGTCAACCATACTTTACAGAATGGAGGAAATCTCAGAGATACTTAAGGGCATAGAATTTCTGTGAATCTAGGTGGTTAGGTGGAGAAGAGAAACCACAAATATGTCCCAACTAACAGAAGGGCTGGAGTGTGAGCTCCTGTGCAGAGAAGTTGCATTGGAAAGAGATGTGGGCACCTGTGAGGAAAAGCTTCAGTAGACTTGAGGTTTTTTTAAACACGACTCAACCGGCCTTGAGATTCAGGCTCTGGGAGACAGTGCTTACATAGAACTGGTTGGTTTTACTTGAAGTGTGTGTGTGTGTCCCCTTAGGAAACACTGTTCCAGGACAGATGTATTTGTTATCTGATGATTGCTTTGGATAGAGACTTAGGAGTTACAGACCTGCATTGTGCAACACTCTCACTGTTGCACTAAGCATTAGAATGAAGGGGGAAAGAAAAGAAAAAAAGAAGTATGGTGGTGTTCATAGTTAATGGTGGTCTTTGTAGCTTGGTAAAAGCCTCATGCTGTTGACTTGTCTTTTCCAGATCCTTCACAGAGTGAGGTTATGGGAGAACCACACACGATGATGGAATACAAGCTCGGTTTATTGTAACAAAATGTACCCCACAAAAATGTTTTGTGCGTGTCTTTATACTGCAGATCTAAATACATGATACTAAATTGACGTTGACGGTGTTAAGCAGTCCTACAGTTATCATTTGCCTTCCTTGATGAAAAGGCACATTAAATGTTTAAAGTCTATGAATTGTTCTGTGCTTGTTGTCAATTACATTAATGTCCTGTGACTAGGTAGTTAAAATGATGTCTCTTCATACACTGCTCAGGACAATAGCTTCTTAACTATGGAAATGCTATGTATGTATACAAGGAATCCAGAAATACCCATGCATTTTAAAACTGATAACTGTAGGTAAATGCATTTAATGGATGTTCTTGCAGAAGAACTTTTTAATGGGGAAAAGAAGTTTTTTTCCATTGAGTAACTCTTTGTTCATGAAAATTTCCATACACTTTTAAAACTATTGAATAAAAGTTTGCTATAAATGCTGCTGCGTTCCAAAATATATTTAATCTTAAATCAAGAATATGTTATCCACAGCACAGTGTTGTTCCTTTTTCTTGCAATATCTTTGAAGATCTGTAATTTCTGCACTGCCAGTGGACTCCTGCTACGTATGTTTTATCCCCTTGCTCCTGAGTGAGCCATTAAGCATTTGTGTAGAATTGGAAGTATTGCTGTAAGAAGGGAGTTAAACGTGTGGATTTTTTTCATCTGTTTCCCTGAGAGGATATTCTGGTTTCTGAAAGCAGAAGCAAGTTCCACTTGGAGTTTAAAGAGGTGTTTTAAAATTCATTTGGGAACATAATCCAAAAGAGCACTCCTAGATCTAGGTATTTTAAATTTCAGAGATTAAGAAGAATGCAGTGCCTAATTATGACAGTACCTAATAAACCTGCTGCAGCGAGACCATGAAGATACAGTGGTACTGGATGACAAACACAGAAATAATTTTTTGTGGGTTTGCCAAAATCAGATCTTAATGAAGGGAGAATGAGAGGCCTATACTTAAACACACCTTTTAAAGGAGCAGGCCACTGAAAGGTTTTTTGTGTGTTATTAAATTCAGGGTTGTAACAACCATTTTCTGATACTGTACATGTGCATGTGTCCTGCAAGGCAGCTAGTATGATGGGCATATTAGGAGAAGAAAAAAAGTCTGTGGTTCAAAAGATCATCTATTGTCACATCTGGGGAGCTTGAAACAATATTTCTAAGATAGGAACCGTCTTTATTCATCAGGTTTTAATGACTTGGTTAAATTGCTAAGTGCACTTACTGTTCTGTTGTAGATCATTTTAGCAGAAATATTGCTATAAACCTCTTTTCACAATCTCGGACATCTCTTGTGCTTTTCAATGTGCTTCAAGCTGCCACAGATCCCCTATCTACATGGGCGGAAGCCTCTAGCTTCTGTCCTGTACATTTTACAGTGCTTTTATGTGCATCTATTGCAAAATACTGCAACAAATTAAAAACAGTGAGATGATACAGTATGAGACACTTTACTGGCAGTTTTATTTGGTTTTATATTTAAACTTGTTTCATTTAAAAAGTGAAGCTTCTAAAATTGTCTTTCACTTGAGAGTTGCAGGGATTGGAGACTTTTGCTATGAAATACAAGCTCTTTCATTTCTATTTTTTGCCTTAGTGAGGTTAAAACCAGAACCGATAAATCGAACAAGCAAGCATAGACCTACTCACTATTTTGCTTTCCATAGCTGTCCTAGTCTTTCTGTGAGCTGATATACTTTTTTAAATGTCAGAACTGGCTGCTATTTTATAAGTGACAAGTTTCTTGGCAGTTTTGTGTAAAGCAGAAGTAAACTGTTGTTACAAAGCAAGCTTGGGGTTTGTGTTGCCCTATGCTCAGGCCAGAAAGGGCGAGGGATTACCTTGGCAGGTCTGGGACAAATTAAGTTACAGGCATTGATTTTTAGGAGGATTTTTGGGTCTGCCTTCCCACCAGCACCATTCCAGGAATAGGGGTGCACAAAACAGGGAGTCATCTCATAGCTGTGTGCAGTTACTGGTACCTTGTAGCTCCCTGCCTCGGTGTATCTAGCTCACTGGCCTTTCCCGGTGTCTGCTGGAAGGTGGGTGCTATTGTATCTGAGCAGAACTACCCTAAGGCAAGTAATTTCGTAGAGTTTCTCATTGGCACAGCTAGGAACGGACACAGATTAGGAGGCTGGATGTAATTTCTAGGTGGTTTTGTTCAAGGGTTAGTATACTTTATTATAATCTTGGGTGAGATCAAGCCATATTTGGAGGAAGGAAGCTCATTTGAGGGGTTTGCCAGGCTGGAAAGCAAATGGTGCATGTAGGAGGTACGTGCAAGAATTTATGCTTTTAATGGAGCCATGGGGGTCAAACTCAAGTGAGGCGAAGAGCTTTTGAGCTAAAAAGGAAGCGCTGCCCTTGTGCAGTGTTGCCGTGGGTTGGGCTGGGGACTGGTCTTCCTGGCTCTCCCCTGCTCCCCATTTCATAGAAGCCTCATTCTGTAAGGACGGTGGGGGCTGCACGCAGCAACCCACAGAGGCAGGCTGAGCGAGGTCTGTGAGCAACGAGTGTAGCTGGGACAGACCCTCCCTCGGTCTCCTGTTGGACCCAACCTGGGCAAGGGGAGGAGGGCGCCTGCAGGTCCCCTGGTGTGACAGGCGCAATGCAAGCCCCCATACTGACATCTTGCAGGCAGCCAGCAGTGCTGTCCCTGCCTCCTCCTGGTGCTGATGTTCTGGGCAGCATCCTTTCCGCCCCCCAAGCACAGGAGGGAGGCAAAAGTGCATCTTCCTGCACTGCTGTTTGTTTATTACAACCGCAAAAAATAGATGACACTGTAGCGCTGCTGCTTCTGTTTACATAAACGTTCCTCCACCAGTCAGCCTGTTGGCCATTTCTTGAAAAACAATGCAAGAACTACAAATACAATGTAGAGTTTAAAAAAACCAAACTTCATTATTGATTTCTGTCAAAATAATCTGCATTTATAGACAAATACAGCAACTACTATAACCTTGGAAGGTTTTGATTTAATAATCTGAAGCACATCAGTACTTTGTTTCCTCAAATCGGCTGTGCTAGGTACTTCAATAAACCACAGTTCATATCCTGCATGTGTTTTGATCTAAGCTTAACAGCCAGCTCTAAATGCTGCATTTATCAGAAATACTTTGCAAACAGCAAGTACTTTGTACAGCAAAACCAAATCATAACCAAGCCATTCCTGAAGTGTATGTGCACGCTCTCATTTGGGCCAACAGAATGCCACTGCAGAATGGGCTGGCTTTGTTGCTGCCTTCCAAGGGCTGGCAGAGGTGTGCGCCGAAGAGGATGTGAAGGCACATGGCTCTTCTTCGTTTGCTTCGCTTTTTCCAGGCAGTTTTGTGTGAAATAGTTAATTTCATAAAGCCTTACATAACTGCATAATGAAGAGGCAAGGGGGACAATGTAATCTTTGTGCTGAAATCCTTTACATCAGTGTTTTCTTAATCTCTCTACAAGCACTCATTATGTTTTGGACCCTCTGATTACTGTAAAACTCGGCTCGCTTCTCCAACAAGTTGGCAGCAACTTGGGCGCCTCAAGGGAGGAGAGTTAAGCAGTTTTATTTACTGGCTGGTGTCTAAACTAGCTAGGAAAAGCTAATGATCTTTAATTGCCAACATCAGCCTTGGTAGTTCAGGACCAGTGTTAAGAGCTGGCTATAGTTAGTAGCTGGACAAATATTCATTCCCCCATCCTGGATAAACAGCGCTGTTTTCACCAGCGATGGGTAGGTAGCGGTCTCCTGGATAGTGAAAACTCTCCTTTACCTTACCTGAACCTTCTTTCAAACCCCTCCGTGATCACGATACGTAGCTGGGGGACAATGCTGTCATTCAAGCAAAAAGGATCTACAGTACTATCGGCACTAATTTTTTTTGCTGGAGTACCACTGAGAAGCTCTGCAGAAGTACTCTCAAGCAAAAAAGGTGAAGAGTCAATGCAGAAACCATGTTCTAGGTTTGGCAGTCTCACCAGTTTGCACTGTGGCCCTGGGCAAGTCACTTGTCCTCTCTGTTGATTTCTCTCTCTTCTCTGCAATAGGGAGGATAATGTCTATTATGGAAGGAAGTTCTTAACAGCATTTGTAAAGTGCTTTGAAGATGAGAAATGCTGTTCAAATGCAAGCTGATTAGATGCATGATTCAGTTTTGGGCACCTCATTTCAGGGTTGTTAAAAAAATAATCAAAGATCCACTGAAAAGAAATGATACACAGCCTTTCTCCAGAAGAAACATTTAAGCTAATTACAACAGCCAACATAACTAGAAAACAAGAAATATCTGTGGGACAAAAAAATAGAGGTGTCTGTATGCAGTTCCTAATATGTGGAAAATGGTAAAAATAAATGTGCGATACGGCCTCTGCAAAATGTAGGCATAGGCCTAACTTCACACTCTGCAAGCTGGGAATTTTCTAAGTATGACAGTTCTGTGTGAAAATCCATTTTAAGTACTATGTCACAGGCAAGGTCCACACATCGCACAGTAAACTTGCCCAAACACTCTCTGCTAAGTGCGGAGCAGTAAAGCCTCCTTACAGCAGGTGCAAGTACTGCCTCCAGTTTGGTGGCTTTCTGAGAAAAAGTGCCTTTTAGGTTAGTAATTTCAGACAGGTTTGGGGGCTTCACTGTTAAGACAGGCTTTTAAAGATGTACACAGCGGACCGCATCCTCAGCGGGCATGAGCTGTTGATAAGCTTATCTGTCACCCCACTTACAGCGACACAAGGTGTATCACGCCCCACAGCTGACATTCTCGAACTTGACAAAGGGTAAGTGGAAAGACAGTCTCATCCTACCTCACTTTTTTTCTTCATGCTGAAAGCAGCATTAAAATCTCCACTGCCAGCCTATTTGCATAGTTAAGTACAAGAGCTAGCTTTATTCAAGTGCTAAAAAGAGACTGGATAAAGAGTGCTACCGATTTAGTGCTTATTGCTGCAGGGCCACTTTGAGCTTGCGTCTGCAACTGTTGTGTTATCTCTATGGTCTCTGTATGACATAATGGTCTCTGCCACTGCATGTCAGATTGGAAAACCCAGGTAGGTGAATCCTTTGTTCAACTATCAATGCTCTCTATGCTGGATACTTCTTCAGGTACGAGCAGAGCCAAGTCCTCCCCGTTCCAGCTCGTGCACAGAAGCCAGCTGTAAGGCACAGATAAGACAGGTATCTTCAGCTGAGATGGTTAAGCATAGCGTGCTGACTCAGCACCAACACACACACCTGATAGCTCTGTTACAGCCATCTTCTGTGGCACAGAGCTGTTGACGTATCCCAGCAGACAGAAGCAATGACTGTACTTGCCCTTATTGCACAAGTTAGACAATATCATTACTGCCGTCTCTGGTAAGTACTAAACTACTACACCTGATCTATTACAGACTGGAACAACTACCCTGTCTGCTCTCAAATAGTAACATTGCATGACACTCTCAAAAAAAAGGATTTTGAGAAAGATTATTCAAAGGGTGGGTTATCTGAGTCATTAATGACAGAAGGAAAAGAAAAATAACTTCCAAAAATTTATGGTGACTGTGGAGTACCGTCCCGATTGCAAGACAGACTAGTTGACGGTAAATATCTGTTGCCTTTTGCACAGAATAGAGTGCTTTCTTAACAGAAACTTTCTCTATCATACAGCACTGAACTAAACAAAACTAAGTATTTAATAAAACAGAAGTATTTACTGGGCCTTTGTAATATAACTGAATTCCTCACTTCTTTATTACTTTATTGAAAAATACTCTCCACACACAGAAGAACCCTTTGCTTCAATTCCCTCAGGTCTGAGACCCATCACTACCTAAGTCTCGAGTTACCATTAGTGCAGCTTCTCTGAATAGACTCTGTAAAACACTAGTCAGGCAGGCACAGACATGAAATTATGTGAAATGTTCTAAATCTGTAGCATTATCACTGCCTATTTAAAACTTAAAATGCAGCTGATGTAGAGATAAAAGGCGGCTGAGGTAAAGTCTAAGCATCAGGAAAAAAGATACAAGTCTCCAGCAAGAGTACTACCCTCTTAAGGAGCTTCCCTCCCCTGAATATAAATCTATCTAATGAAAAGTGATCCTTCTGTCATTTAGATCTATGTTCCAACACCCTAAAAAGACATAATTTATACTGGAAAGAATCCACAGTGACATTAACTTTTGTGAGTAGTCATGAATAATGATCTTTTGCTGTATTATTACTACACGTTCACTGGATATGATTACATGCAAATACTGTAGGGGCATATTTTTTAAATATGTTGAGAAGTTTATTCATATGGGCCTTAAAGTTAGTGCAGATCTTTTACCGATTTTGATGGCACTGGGTCACAAGGTACCCATGACCAAGGACCAGGACAGATAGCTTCCCATTAAATTCACCGGGTGACTGGTCAACCCCCATTAGGATCTAGAAGAGCTCAGACTGCACAACTAAGCTCATGACTTTCAAGTGATCAGTTACTTTTGCTCTGTGTGAAGGGCTTTCCTCAGGGGCACCCGAGAAGGTCTCACACCAAGGGAAGGCATACACATGCAGTCCAGGGTATAGTCTATCCCACTAGTAGTATATTCAGGGTAAATTACAGTTTGGGGGAATTAGGCGACAAGTTGGGGTACTGGTTGACAGCCAGCTGAGTACGAGCCACCAGTGTGCCCAGCTGGCCAAGAAGGCCAACAGCATCCTGGCTTGTATCAGGAATAGTGTGCCCAGCTGGCCAAGAAGGCCAACAGCATCCTGGCTTGTATCAGGAATAGTGTGGCCAGCAGGAGTAGGGAAGTGACCATGCCCCTGTACTTGGCACTGGTGAGGCCACACCTTGAATACTGTGTTCAGTTTTGGGCCCCTCACTACAAGGAGGACATTGAGGGTTGGGAGTTTGTCCAGACGAGAGCAAGGAAGCTGGTGAAGAGTCTGGAGCACAAGTCTGATGAGGAGCAGCTGAGGGAACTGGGGTTGTTTAGTCTGGAGAACAGGAGGCTGAGGGGAGACCTTATCGGCCTCTACAACTGCCTGACAGGAGGCTGTAGTGAGGTGGGGGTCGGCCTCTTCTCCCAGGTAATGGGCAATAGGACAAGAAGAAATGGCCTCAAGTTGCACCAGGGCAGGTTTAGGTTGGACATTAACAAAAATTTCTTCACAGAAAGTGTTGTCAAGCATTGGAATGGGCTACCCAGGGAAGTCGTTGAGTCCCCATCCCTGGAGGTATTTAAAAGAAGGGTAGATGAGGTGCTTAGGGACAGGGTTTAGTGGTGGGATGGCAGTGTTAGGTTAACAGTTGGACTTGATGATCTTAAAGGTCTTTTCCAACCTAAACAATTCTATGGTTCTATGATTCTAAGTTCACAGCACATGGAGCTGAGGGCACGTAGCTGGATCAGGGCCAGAATGGGACTGATGGTGGGAAATCTCCAGCAAAGGTGTAGGAGGGTAGGTGATGGAGACAGAAAAAGTGTGAAACTAGAGCTACTAGAGCACACTAGAGAACACTGAAGTTAGTTTGAGAACTACTGCACTAAACCATTCAGCTTCAACTCACATCAAAACAGAAGTTACTTGGCAAATGCAGTCAGAAGCACCCTCCTGATCTGTACTTACCACAGGACAGCCAGTGGAATCAGACAAAGGCCTGCCGATAAGAGGAAGCTAAAGCCTGAAAACCATGCAACAGTAGCTGCATAGAGAATATTAAAAACTGAAAGTGAAATAGTGCCGGTCACAACTTCTAAACAGGCAATACAGGCAAACACAGCACCTGCCAGAAACAAATGGATGGATTATAAACAAAACAAAATAAAACCAAACCCCCTTCAAAGCACTAAAGTTTTTAAACTTGTTTTGAAAGATCTATCTACAGTACTTTAGCAAGTATGCAAGAAACAAGCACCCAAGTATTATAGTCTTTCCTATGAAAGTGTCTTCTGTGGGGACTCCTACAGAGAAGATTTGTTTTTTAAATGAAAAAGAAACCCACCAACACACAAAAAAACATTCTGCTGGTGGAAACTATTTTTCTTTGCTATTATTCTGTCACCATACCTACTTTCTTGAATCTGCTTATCACACGAAGTTCAAACCGTTCATCCTCACTAATGGTCCTTTGCCCCTTCCAATTGTCCTCTTGATTCTCACTCTTCCCTTTCTTGTTTCTTCCTTCTCTAATCTTCACCCTTATACAGAAAAGGCTCTGATCCAACAAAGACTGCTGGCTCAGCTCATAACCATCTCCTTCTCATTTTTGCAAGGAAAGAAGCAACCATTTTTGCACTGAACTACCCATTGGGGTGGCAGTCTATCCCATCAGTGTCTTGTTAAACACATTTCCCCAGGCCACATTCATAGTCATGGGACCATAAACAAAATCACAGTAGGTAAGTTGAAAAGGATGACAAGAGGCAATCTGATTCCTGCATCAAACTACTCAAGTAGTCAAAGCCCTGAAGCATGCCAAGAAACTGCAAAAACAGAGGTGTACATTAGCATAGTTCAGTACAAAGAGATCTTTGTTTAAGTGTATAAAGATACATCTTTTAAAAAATAAAACCAAACAACTCAGGCGAATGCTTCTAGAAAGTGTATGCTCCCAAAAACCTGGTTACAGCAACCTATGGGATACTGGAGCCGCATTTTGAGGCCTGACATGCTTTTTTCCATGTTCCATACAGAAAGCACTTTGGGAAGTAATATGTTGTACCTTTTGGGATGTGTTTGAATAGCCACAGGGACCCATGAAGCCGGGCATATAGCTCAGGATCCAAGTCTTTAATTGTTTTCAAGTGCTTTGAATGTTGACCACCTATTGCTTACTTTTCTAAATTATTAAGTGTGATGCTGACAAATAACAAAAGTGTGTCTTTCTCTGCATGTCAAAATCTTGTGAATGTAGAAGCGCTTATGAAATCACATCTGTGTAATCTTGAGCATTCCTCTGCTTCAAGTTCCCCATGGTCCTTATTTTTAGAGCAGTATCTCCTTTGAAGGTTGATACTTGTGGTAGTTTTTAAACACAACGCTGTTTATATTAAGTTCAGAATCAAAAGCCATTAATATCATGACATAGGGTCATATTATATGGAACTTCAAAGAAAAGCAGTCTTAAAATACCAATACCTATCTGTTTGTTTAAAGGTAATCTTGCTGCATCTCTTTTCTGAAATACTGTATTGTTGTACTGTTCAAAACCAAATTCTACTCACCCTGTTCACCAGTGAGAACCACTTTTGACAGCATGGACCGGAGAACAGGAATAGGCATAAAGCAGAGCAAAGATGGCACCCTTACTGTAAAGCAATGAATCAGTCATGAGACATTGAAGTAATAAAACCCCAGGATTTTACAAATACATTGCAAATGAATTAGTCACATAATTTTGAATGCTCAGTTCCCCAAAGAGTAAAAGGCAATAGAAAAATCGAACTGCAAGTGCACTGAGATACAACTATCAAAGCACAGAGAAATTAATAAATCCAATATATCTGTATTGCACTAAACCCAAATCGTAAGCAAGTAATTCCATTCACTCTCCATACACTTCATCTTTTAATTAAATCCCAAATCAGTCTGACCCAACCTCGTATATTTTACCTCTCTATGACCCTTTCAAGACAGTATGTCCAATATCTACCAGCTGCACTCACTACAGATAACACAGCAGTATTTTCACATATATTGTTGACCATAGAACGACTGATTCTGAACTCACCTAAAAACATGAGCAGGGTAGTTTTGGCAAAGGCAGCCATGACCATTCCTCCTATGTAAGAAAATATCCCAATAAAGACAATATAAATGTCTTTGAGACATTTAGAAAATAAATAAACTCCTAAAAAACTGGTCAGAGAGACAGAAGTGAATGCAGCTGCTCCATATCCAATGTATACTTCATTCCAGCAGAGTGGTTCATCCAGTTCATACAGCGTAAAAAGCGAACTCCCGCCAACCATAGTAAACAAGTAAGTCATAAATGTAAAAAGTAACACAATGATTAAAATTCTCTTTTTATAAGGGGCAGTTTTAAAAAGCATGTACACTCCAGAAAATGTCTCTCTAAGAAGTTCTTTACAAGATACCGGTGCCTCGTGCTGGAATTGAGATATGCCTACTGTATCTTCCAGAAAAAATATAATATAGGTAATATTAACGACGTGAAGGAGAGAAGCTGTCACAAATGTCCACGTAAAGCCTATTCCTCTTAGAAAGTAGCCAGATGACAGTCCTGCCAATCCAGACACGACTCCAAAAATCAAATCCACCACAGCTATTCGCGTTGTCTTCTGCTTCTCATCGTGACACACGTCTGCTATAAAAGCAAAGCCTCCTCCAAGGAAAGTTGCCATACTCCCAAACAGTCCAGTAATAAATGCCACCGCAAATAGTATAGAGAGTGATAAGGAATAATATGATATTACAGTGAGGCAAATATCAGCAATCAAAGCTCCCATTGATGGTAAAACTAAAGACCTTTTGCGTCCCTGGCGATCCCCATTAGCTACAATGACAAAGGCAACTATAAGGCTGGGAACTGCCCCGGTTAAGTCCAACTGCATGTTAAAAACAGAGGCCTTTTCTTGAACTTCCTGCAAAGAGAAAACAAAAATAATTTTAAATACTATAATACATTGTAAAAAAAAAAAAAGTAATCTAATTTATAATACTACACTTACACAATGATTAGCATGCAATATAATGAATAGCACAGTCCCTGTTTATAGATTGATTACATTATTATAAAACACAATACATACAATAACATTTTATAAGATTATATGACATTATATTATGCTATACTAAAATACAGTACATTACTGTACGTTTATAAGAACTCACATTACAGTAATCGCTAATACAAAGCAATTGCATATTCAAATTGATTTTTGTAATTTTACCTTCAATATTCCTCAAACAACCCTTGTTACATTTTAAGCCAGAACTTATTTCTAAAGATACAGTCTCACCAGTACCCTTGACAGAGAAGTTTCAATGGAGACAAGAGAACTATTCTCTTGAATGTGCATTCACAAGAGCTGCCATTTGTACTGTAAGTATCTCCTTCAGCACGGGGTATGGCAAAAGGACACCGGGCCTATTTTAATCTCTCAGAAATCAGTAGTAAAGCAGTCTTTGACTGAGGAACAGCATCCCATGCTCCCTCCTCACAGGAGATCATTTTTCTTCCTAAATAATCCTACTGAGAGGGTTACAAAGAAACAATTCACTGACTAGCACATTGTGCAAGTACACAGATCAGGATTTCCTCTGACATCCCAGTGTACAAAGTTAATAACAACAACAATCGCAAATGTGAAACGCAGCATTAAAAAACTACCAACTCACAGATACGTGATGGCCGGTCACAAGCGGTGTTCCCCAGGGCTCACTTCTGGGGCCAGTTCTGTTTAACATCTTTATCAATGATCTGGATGAGGGGACTGAGCGCACCCTCCATAAATTTGCAGATGACACCAAATTGAGTGGGAGTGTCGATCTGCTTGAGGGGAGGAGGGCTCTGCAGAGGGACCTGGACAGGCTGGGTCAATGGGCTGAGGCCAACTGTATGAGGTTCAACAAGGCCAAGTGCCGGGTCCTGCACTTGGGTCACAACAACCCCCTGCAATGCTTCAGGCTTGGGGAAGAGTGGCTGGAAAGCTGCCCAGTGGAAAAGGACCTGGAGGTGCTGGCTCACAGCCGACTGAATATGAGCCAGCAGTGTGCCCAGGTGGTCAAAAGGGCCAATGGCATCCTGGCTTGTATCAGGAATAGTGTGGCCAGCAGGAGTAGGGAAGTCATCCTTCCTCTGTACTCTGCACTGGTAAGGCTGCACTTCGAATATTGTGTTCAGTTTTGGGTCTACAGCTGCCTGACAGGAGGCTGTGTGAGGTGGGTGTTGGTCTCTTCTCCCAGGTAACGGGTGACAGGATGAGGGGAAATGGCCTCAAGTTGTGCCAGGGCAGGTTTAGGTTGGACATTAGGAAAAATTTCTTCACAGAAAGGGTTGTCAAGCATTGGAACAGGCTGCCCAGGGAAGTGGTCAAGTCACTGCTCTGGAGTCTTTTACTCTTCCCATATGGTGTCTGACTACCTTAGGATTCAGGATGTCCTGTCCACTAGCCAGCACTGTAGTCACCCTGGAAGGGTCAAAACCATGAAGACTGAGCAAACTGAGAGTGGAAAATGATATTCTGATCCTTAACTCCTCCCCTGCTGACAAAGAGAACTCTATGTAGTGGCAGGAATTGCTTCTTTACCGGGGTCATCAAGTTCAAAGACATGAGCCTCAAAGAAATGCTAATACATTAGAAATAACACTAGATGTTACTACATATCATCTCAACCCACATTAACCATACAATTGTATACATACAAAAATATAATTGCCAAGCCATAATGAAGTGTTAAACTGGAGGAATAAAACAACAAAGACTTGGGTTTCGTTGTTTTGAAAGTAGATGTGCAGCATAAAGAACACGGCTAGACATCCAGATACTGCAAATGGCCATGACCTTGCAGATATAAATGACTTCTTGTCTACTGACAAGAAGACTAAAAGTACAGAAAAACTCCATTTAGAGTGTAAAGCACTCAATTGCCCACTTCATGTTTTTATAAAGTCAGCGGAAAAGAATATAGAAAATGATAGGGCAAACCTGCAGCAGCTTTAAAATCACGTAACTCTATTAAAATCAATGGAACTACATAAATTTGAAGAGAAAGGTCTACGTTTTTAATCTGCAGATACACTCTACTCTGAAAAAATGTTCACTGTGGATGAAAATAGTTCTTAAAATCACAGATTTCAACGGTAAAAGAATGAAAATGAAGATGCAATTCTCTTATCCAAGGATTAAATTAAGAGAGAAGTGTAGTGCCTGAGGCTGAACAATGTACAGGACATGATAAACTGACAGGCTCATAAAATTAAAAAATATTACTGAGTAGCAAAGAAAAATGTATGGATTGGATAATAAGTAAACTGGATGATAAATAATGTTTAATGATTAACAATACAGCTCTTCCTGAGCTAAAAAAAAAAAAGGATTATCCAAGCCAGTGATTGGAATGCTTCAGCTTGTATTTAAATTACCTTTGATCTCATTTTATTATAAAATGACTAATTACCTTCAAATTGTAAGAAATAATTAATCTAAAACCTGCAAAGACCATCCATTTTGAAGTATATTCTACTGTTTTGCAGGCTCCAAGTGATTTTTGTCTTCAATTTCCTTTTACATTTTGCTTTGAAATAGGTGAGATCAGTAAAAAGCTTCCCCGTTCTCAGAATGGAAGGATTTATACCAAATTAACGATTAAGGGAGGTGTTCTTCTAAAAGTTAATGCCAAACAGGGCCTGTTGGCAACACTCCTGACAGCAAAATTTACAGCACTTGTAAACATAAGCCAGTTAGGATGGCCTTGGAAAATCCAGAACACTCACACATCCTCAGCAAAGGGCTTGGAACTGTGTTACTGGACCTACTCTTTTCCCCATACACAGGACTACTCATGACAGAGGCTGGGTTCCACTGAAGTTAACGGGTGTTTTCAGCATTTTACATTCTTATGGTATGGTAACAAGTGTGGCTATCAAAATGCAGGTGAGATGTACAGACAAGAGCATGATTGCTCAAAAGCTCATGCCCTGTTGGCTATCATTGAAATGGAGGGAATGCAAGTTTGGCCAGAAAGGGGAACGAGGACGTTCTATTGGCCATTATTCAACAACCATCTTGAAGGATTCGTGTTCTCAAATACCAAGTTAATTATCCTTTGCATCCTTTATGCCAAAAACCCCTGTAATGTGTGAATTCACCACCACATCAATCAGAGATGCCATCTAAACTTCAGCTGAAATTAAGCACTCTGCTTCAGTATTTTGAAAAAAGAAACACGAAATCTTATACCCTGATCATAGGTGATCGCAATTTGAAAATAAGGTTGAATTTGGGGGGGCTTCTAGCAAATGCAAAGTGCAGAAAATTTTGTGGAATGTAGGTTTCTTGACGGGCTCTGTGATTAGAACTGTATGCACCACGTACGGTTTTCTTAGAGTTGCTCCTTCTATTGACATGACACTGTATGACAAAATGCCCCCCCAGCACCAAACGGGCAGCTAATACTGAGGAAAACACTTTGGGGGAGTAACATACAAGCATACAGTAATTGGTTATTATCTCCAAATAAATTCCAATGGGTGGCATACATTACCTTCCTCGGCTGATGGGTCAGCCCAAAAAGCACACTGGACTTACAATTCTATTGACCTTTTTACTTTCACATCCTTTCTACCAAGATGGCTTCTGTCACATGAGGAAGAACCTACTCCACGCTAAAAATCCTGAATTATTTCTTTGGTCCTCTTCGACGGAAGCACATACCATTAAAAAGAAAATAAAAATCTTTGATATAAGACAAATGAAGTAGATAAGCTCAGGTGTTCAGTCTTGTGCATATGCAGCACATCTGGGATGTGAGCAAAAATTTTCAGGTGCCACCCCTTCAGCAGCGCAGGGGAATACCAGCTGACTGTTTCCATAATTCCATCTTCTGCATAATTTACAGTCAGGGTCATCTACTTCTGTGACTCTACAGTGGTTTCACGTTCCACTTAATCCAACCTAACTGCCAGTTGCTGTTGCCAAGCATGGTTCTGTTGTACCTCTCCTGCAAATGTGTTCCCTCTGCCACGCCCATGTGAGGTACAGCAATCATGCGGCCAGAGCGTGTCAGAGCAGCGCGCTGCTTCGCAAAACAATAGCACTCAGAAAACAACAAACTCAAAAAAAAGTGATGAGCTAGCTTTCTGTTGAGTCAGTGCCCATATCAAATCCAAAGCGTAGCCTGTAACTGTGGAATTGCAAGATACAACACGTGGGGTGGAACAACGTGGAGGGGGGAAGGGGAAAGGCAAATGGGAGTATGACCACCTCTTCTTCTGGCAGCCCACAGTTAGTTCTGCTTAAGCGTAGCATTAAAACCGCACTGGAAGTGCAAGGGAAGAGGTTCCAATCAACACCCAGCTCTCCAGCACGCTGGACTATGAAAAAGTGCTAAAAATATAATTGGCCACGGGATGCTGTCATTGCAGCATCTTTATGTTTCAGCGAGGCACACTAGCACTGCTATGAATGGCAAATCAGTTAGGTTAGATTGTGCAAAGATCAGTTAAATTATTTTTCATACAAAAATTTTTATCTTATCCCCTTCCCCCCCCCCTCCCTTCTTCATTAATTCCTCTGAAATAAATGTATTCCAAACTAGACCTTATTCCTAAAAACTACAGGACATTTGCTAAAGTTTACATAGTTACAGAGAACACTGGAAGTCACAGAGATGGCTGATGGCTCACAGGCACACACACAAGGCCTGCTGGAAGGAGGAGCCTTCAGCGGTACCCGCTGTAATGTCAGGCCAACGCCAGTTCGGGCCAAATCCTCCGAGATGATTTTCAACTCCTGTTCAAATATGAATTTACCTCAGCATCTTCCTGGAGACAAATCTTTGTCTTTAAAGCCCTACAACTACCTACGGCGCCACATGAGGGCCATGAGACAGTGAAGTGACAGCAGTTTGCAAAACTACAGCTTTTCTAAACATAGAAGGTTAAGTAAACTTCAATAGAAGGAGGTCACACTGAGACGGCAGGTAGAGGCTGCGAGTTTAGTTACGATTGCATCTTCTTCCCCCCACTTACCTTCTGCTTGATGTACGCCGGGCTACTTTTATTCTGCTCGCAGTGACTGGCGTTGGTGTCGCTGACGAACGTGGAGTTGTACTCCTGCTCCCACAGCCGCCGGTAGATGAACTGCTGCACCAGCGGGCTTGTCAGGGACGACGCAAACATGTAGATGAAAATGACGGGCTCCACGCACAAAACCTTCCTCATTTCTGGGCTCGCCGTTTAATCCTGCATAGCAGAAGGCAAAACGCAATCGCTCGCGACGTGAAAGGAAAACG